TTATAGAAAATCACAGGATGCCCTGGAGCACAGACTATAGAGGGCGATCTTCCATTCAATGGATGATGACAAAGACAACCGCCACCGCACACAGCACGCTGCTGAAGAAGGATTCCTGTTTCTAGCTGACAATTAAGATTTGTCATTTTGTTTTATTTCATAAAAAACAAAATTAAGTAAATTGAGCAAATTCAGGTCACACAACAGTATTACACCTGCTACGCAGTCACTAAAGCAGTCGTATTTCAGAAAAGCCAGCTAACCTTAGACATGAGGTTGTCATTGCATTGTACACCGAGGGTTGTAGGAAAGTCTTGTTTGATAAATGATTATAGTGTTTCATGAGAAGTAGCACAATACAGTGAGTGTGTTTGACTGCTCCCTTCAGTGTCGGCCCATGCTGAAGTCTTTTCCAATAAACTTTTGCTGAAATAAAAACACACTACGGGGGGAATTTATCAAAACTGGAGCAGACAGGATCTGGAGCAGTTGCCCATAGTAACCAGTCATCATCTTGTTTCAGTTTGTTGAGTTACAATTCGAAAATGAAAGATGACTGGTTGCTATGGGCAACTGCTTCAGATTCTGTCTGCTCCAGGTTTGATAAATTCCCCTCTATGTGGCTCATCCTGCAACGCATTTCCCGTTGGGGTCATTCAGCATGCCCTGTCACACCATCAGGAGTGCGTTCGGCCTCTGGAACGCAACCCAGCCAGCTCAGTTTTTGGGGGCTGTAGGGGTGCATTTAACTCAATGGCACTGCAGCCACTCCCCCTGCCCGCGGTGAGAATGCTGGCACCCGAACTTGTGGCACATTAGTGCCTGCGTTCCGGTCCAGTGTGATCTGCAAAAAATGCTGCAAACACTTTTTTGCAGATCGCACTGGACAAGATTGCAGGCACTAATGTGCCACGCGTTCGGGTGTCGGCGATCGCACAGCGAGCGGGGCTGCGGTGCCATTGAGTTCAATGCACCGTCGCGCCCCCTCCCGGCCCCCAAAAAACTGAGCCGGCTGTGTTGCGTTTCAGAGGCTGAACGCACTGGAACGCACTGCTGAATTTTTTCTTGCACTCTGCTGCAGGTTCATGTAATGCACAACAATAAGTCAGGGCTGGACAAATCCCAGGAGCCAGGTAGCCAATGCTCCTTAACAAATACAGGTGGTGCCTAACTTTCGAGGTTCTCTCTAGTGGTCAAAGGAGCTGGCTCCCAAGAAGAAAAACCCAGCTGGCTCCTGCACTGGGCAGACTGCTTTCTGAAGTCCATATTTGTCCATCATTGTATTATGGGCTTGTTCACACTGTATCTGAAGAGCTGCGTATTTCTCCAAACAATGGTTTTCTATATGCCCTGTTCATACCATACATGTGTGGCGGTGTACAGGAAAACACAACGGACATTGTGTGACCAAGCCATGAAAACTACTCCACAATCCAGTGAGAGATTCTGTATATGTAAAATACTTCACGATTACCTACGACAAAGATTCTGATCGTACAATTCAACCAGTACACAAAACATAATGAAGATATGTAATGTCACTACAGTCACATCTCTATCAGCAGAGATCCATCATCCAGCTCCCCCGATCACAGTCTCATACAGTCATTTATGTATGGGACGAATTTTATGTCATCACATAGACATAAGAAGTTCTGTAATGCTTAAACTGGACCTTTACCCACTTTGACTAATAATCACATCAGCATACAGCTCTGCTTGCCGATATGAAATCATCTTATATTCATTAGCTAAATAAAGATTTTTACTTTACTTACAATATATTTTTTTCTGCTTCTTGGTCCACGTTGGCACAATTGATGTAATTGTGCCCAAGCGTTGCATCCTGGGAAGGTTACATCAGCAGAGCTTTGCTGAGAAACCTCATCTGTAATCTCATGAGATCTCAGGGAAAGGCATTTTCCTCCCCTGAGATGATGTGCATGGTCGCATGTCCTAGTCACATGTACCAGAATTCCAGGAAGTAAAGGGAGATCTAGTAACCTGCCCTTCGTAAAAAAAAAAAAATGGCCACTGTGAGATGAATGGGGAGGAAAAGAAAAAAAAGGTATGCAAAGAATAAAAAGCCGGCAATTATTTAGAAATATGTGTTTGTTGTAATTTTGAAGATCAGGGTGAAGTTCCTTTTTAAATTGTACTTAAATCAACTTAGTCAAATTGACTATTAACCAATCAGGGGTGGCGGGTAATCTGCAAAGCAGTTGATCTACCAGTATACGCAGAATACGTTGTTGTAATTGTTTACCCTGTATATTATAGAATTGTATATTAGCTGGGGGGAAATTTATCAAAACTGGAGCAAGCAGAATCAGGAGCAGTTGTCCATGGCAACCAATCAGCTTCTCTCTTCAGTTTGCTCAGGTAAGATTTGAAAATGAGAGCGAGAAGCTGATTGGCTGCAGTGCAAATTTGCTTTAGATTTTGTCTGCTCCAGTTTTGATCAATTTCCCCCAACTGTATATTAAAGCTGGACTCTAGACAGGTATAAGAGCTCTGCGGCTCCGTAATTATTGACTTGATTAAGTGTCTTCTTTTAAACATGAACAGTGTATTTACCAGAATTTGATCTGGTATCACTCTCTTGTAGTCCCTGTACAGCAAAGCTGAAGTGTGAGGGGAAGAAGCGGTAAAAGGAGTCAATCAATTCATGTGACAAGGAGGAGAGAGCAGAGTGACAGAGAGAGGAGTTCTGCCCTGTGCTGCTTCTCCTTTCACTGTCCAGTCACAGGCTGGGGAAGGTCAAGGACGACCTGGGCTCAGAGCAAATGAGTTTAATGATGTTGGCCATCAGTCTGTGGACATGCAGTGCTGCGGGAGAAATCTCGGGACCGAGGATGAATAGTGCAGAAAAAGCTGGTTTAGTTTTATAATTTTTTTTTTTTTTAATGGGTCATTTTTATCTTTTGTTTTTTTGTCGTTTTTTACACTGGGGTTCTGCTTTATCGATGTGGTTATAACAGCAGACACCAACAAAAGTTACTGAAAGCAGTATTCAAATGCTCCAAATGTTTTCAGACAATCTCTATTCTGGGCACATACTCCGTGTGGACCTGGTTGACGTGAACCTAAGATCCGTTGCTGAAGATATGCCCCCTTCCCCAGCACGTGGTCATGATGAGTCAACAATCAATGAATGAATCAACAATATATATTGCAACATAAATTACATGTTATATAACCTTACACAATCCTTATCTCCCTGCCATGAGTGCAAAAAAAAACAACAACCCAGTAACAATTTCTTTAGTACAGCAGCAGGGTCTAATTTTCAGAACATCCAGGGCATATATGGAAAAACGAATGTTATCAGAGACTCCTAGGCGGGGGTGGGGAGTGTGGTGTCTATGTCAAACGAACATGATGTAGTGAGCAGCTTATGTACTGTATAATGAGCAATACAATTTACCTGCCCCAGGCATCAGGAACACATGCCAAGGGGTCCACTTTGATACCAGTGTGCACAGGTCCCAGTCCGTCAAGCTAGCTCATTATTAACAAAGCGCAACTGTCAGGCTTTAAAACATTTAACTCAAAGACCTGCCAGAATATGCAGAATATTACCTTTGCAGCCAGAAAGCACTTCCAATGTGCCTCTCTGATTTCATTACACTTTGTCGTCAGGGTCTTGTCTTCACTGACTACTAAGCTAAGCAACTAGCTACCCCTTCCTGGCTCTGGAGCTTGAGAACTGTTTCCTGGTTACACTATACATGTGCAGGAAAACGCAGCCTAACGGGCATGCTGTGAACAGGCCCTAAAGAACAAGTGCACTTATACCTTTAGTTTTTTTGTTTTTCCACTTCTTGGTTGAGTGAGGCACTGGTGATGTAGCCCTGGCCTCACGGATGAAAGCTGAAATGAACCCACAGACGACCCTGAAAGGTATTACTAGGGATGCACCGATACAGATACTAGTATTGGTATCGGTGCCGATACAGAGTATTTGGGCGAGTACTTGTACTCACCCAAATGCTCTGATACTTCCTTTTGATACCGATACCGGAACTTCCCTCTGAAATGCAGTGCCGAGGGAGCATTGAGCCAGCTTCCTTTCCAATCAGGAAGCTGGGTGGCGAATTACGACTCGCCTCCTGGCCTCCGATTGGCTAGGAAGCAGGCTTCACTTCTTGCTAGGCAGCCTGGCTTCCTAACCAATCACGAAGTTGGGCGGCACGTAATAATCCGACTCCCGGATTAGTCAGGAAGCCAGGCTGCCTAGCAACAAGTAATGCTGGCTTCCTAGCCAATCAGGAAACCGGAGGCTGGTCATGAAGTGCTGCCAAGCTTACCGATTGGCTAGGAAGCTGGCTTCACTTGTTGCTAGGCAGCCTGGCTTCTTGACCAATCAGGAAACCGGACGGCACCTCACGCTCCGCCGCCTGGCTTCCTTATGATCAAGAAGCCGGGCGGCCTCGGCAAGTGAAGTCGGTGTTCTTTCGAAAGAAAAGTCTTCCCAGGTAATCATGAAACCTGGCAGTGGGCCATGAACCGCCTCCCAGCTTCGTGACAACTGAGGCACATAGCAACTGGAAAAAAAAAATATTGGTACGCGCACTCGACACCGCAAAACCGGTATTGGTGCATCTCATTATTACCCAAGGCATGTCTTGAAAGTAAGGCTGGCCATACATTATGCGAATTTCAGCCGGTTGAAGAACCTGATCGAAGGTGCCAAATCGGAAAACCTTCGAATGAACAGAGCCAGCATCCAATGAGCTGTCAGAATACAAAAGGAACAGCGGGGATTCCTCAAACATTGCACGTGGGTTGAACAAAAAAAAATATAGAACAGTGTATGGCCAGCTTAACAGTTTTGGGAGACGGTTAAATAGCCGGGTCTAGTTAAGCTTTAAACTATTCACTTGGCATTGGGTTTTGCTGCTTCGTACTATTTCAATGATAGACAGATCCGATAGTAGTTTATACCCACCTGTCTGAGGGTAGCCTTACATAATATCCATTTTGCATTTGTCACTCACCTCTTTTTTGCAGCCAGCCTTCCTTTACCACCATTACTTCATTCATGGTGATGGAAAGACTGAGGCCTACGTGTAATCAATCAGCTCTCCAAAAAAAGTGTGTTTAGACTGTAAAGCGGTTCTGGAATAAGAAAAAAAGAAAATCACATGGTTAGCTAACAAAAGGCTCCTATGATATTCATCACTACTTCTTCCAAACATAATATAGCATACAACTAAAGCTGGCCATACCAAGGTAGATTTTCCTACGGACATAAGAAAAATCTAGTCAGAACATGCAAAAACCCCAGACTTGACAGATGTCATTCGAGATCTCATTTGATTTTTACATTACATTTTGGAAAAAATGGAGTTTCTTGAATGAAAAGCAAATTGACTGTTAGAATTTCGTTCGTTGGAGAAAGAAATTATTCATTCTGCTTCTTTGATTTTGTTATTTTAATACTATGGTTTGTTATTTTAATCCAAGGCTGGACAAAATCCCAGGAGCCAGGTCGCCAATGCTCTTGAAAAATGACAGCTGTTGCCTGACTGAGGGCGTTCTCTAGTTGTTCTCAATGGAGAAGTGCCTAAAAAATCCTGCTGGCTCCTGGATTGGACAGACTGCCTCGCAGGTTCCAAACGAATTTCCCAGCCCTGATTTAACTTCATTAACCATTAGAAAACTGAATGAACAGGAAGTTTGGCAAAATTTTGCTTCAGGTCACGAACTCTGCCATCTGGGGAAGATGGCGGTGATTGTTAGTCACCCGATGCGGAGTTCGTGACCTGAAGCAAAATTTTGCCAAACTTCCTGTTCGCGAACCGAATTGTTCGGGAACAGAAGCGAACCGAACATTTGCGTTCGCGACACATTGTCGTGGCTTCTTCTAGTCGAGATCGTGGTCTGATCAGTTTGATTCTGTATGCGACCAGAATCGTGGAACGAATTAAGTTCGTGAACCGAGGTAACATTGCATTTATATAGTGCCGAGAATTTCCGCAGCACTTTACATAGAGCACATTCACATCAGTCCCTGACCTCAAGGAGCTTAAAGTCTAAGGTTCCTAACTCACATGTATACATACATACAAATTTTGAGAGGAACCAATTAACCTTCCAGCATGTCTTTGGAGTGTGGGAGGAATCCCACACAAGCACAGGGAGAACATGCAAACTCCTTGCAGATAGTGACCTGGCCGGGATCGAACCAGGGAACCCCAGTGCTAGTCCAGGGAACCAGGGACCCCCGGTGCTGCAAGGCAGAAGTGCTAACCACAACGCCACTGTGCTGCCCCATTTGTCTACTGGTGTATGGCCAGTCGCACATATCACTTTAGCATATGACCTAGAAAAAGAAATATAAGATCTTCAACCAAATTATGTTTAAAACAGAAGAATCACCACTAACCCTATCTCTAACAAGAGACTGCATGGTGCTTAATGTATGCTTTACATTGAATTGTATAAAAAGCCAGATCAACTTCCTGTGTAGATGTGAAACTATCAGTACGAAGGAGTCTACACCATCAGTAATGCCGTAGTGTATGCACAGGCGATCAGAGTCTTTAGTAGTGACAGGCAGATACAATTATATTTTGATGTGCTTATAGTTTTGGCTTGAATCCCACTGAGGGCAGAAACACTTTTGCGCTGCACGTTATGCACTTTTGTGAGTTCTCGTGCCATTTATTTTAAATGGCATCACAACACACTAAAGCAATGCAGCTCCGACACCCATATATTACAGTGCACCACAATGCATGGTAACACACTACTGCAGGTTGTGGTGCACTGCGTCAAATAAAATGCTGCAAATCCATTTTCTATCTGTTGGCAGCTCATAAATTATATAACACACACCAGAAGCCAGGCAGGGAATGCTCCTTAAAAGTAACAGCTGGAGCCTAACTTTTAAGGTTCTCTCTAGTTATTGTCAATAGAGCTAGCTCCTACATAAAATCCTGGTTTCTGAACTCCAAATTCATTTCTCCACCCCTGCATTAACCCATTGCACAGGAACGGACAAGTGTGAATGGGCCATGAAGCAGTCGCTTCAGAAAATCAGAGGGGGCGGATACAAGACCAGCCACCCTGCACACAGAGTGAGAGCAGCAAAGACCAGTCTTTGTTACAGGAAACTCCTGCACAGAGACAAGGTGCAGGGGTTGTTTCATGCAGATTTGGGAGAAATACGCAAAGCTCACCTGGGAATATACTATTCATGCCTCCTGTTTTTAGGCAATATTTCTAAAGCCTGGAATACAGGTTTAAGTTGAAAAGATACTAAAGTCAAAAGTTCTGTAAGCTATTTCAATTGCTAATTAAATAATTTACAATGGATGCTGTTTTTGGCGTTTTCCTCCAGAATCAGCCGGTCCCCTAAGCGCTGGTCCTGATATCCTGGTCTAGGGTGGCTTCTTTCCCTTGCAGAGTCCTATGGAGCCACCCTGGTGTGTGCTAGCAAACTGTGTGTATCTCCACAAACACAGCAAGGCGAGACACTCACCTGCTCCCCTCTCCTCCATCCACACTTCTCCCAGCTGGGGAATCGTACAACAGAGAGACATTTGTGGGTTTATGTAAATAGGGATAATACAATTATTTACTCATATGCAAGACTGCTGGAATACTGAAAAAAAACAGGGAACTGTTCTTTAGTAACTTTAAACAAAAGGAGCCTGCTCTGTCCCTGTGATGATGTACTGGGCAGGAAGTTCAGGGAAGCAGAGCTGAGGGAGTTGCAGCTCTTGGGAAACAATAACGACTGTAAATTCTTCAGCTAAAAACTTTGCTGGGCAATGTATAGTTATTTGATCCGGATTCATCATTTTAAAAAAAAAGGTTTAAGAGTTTAATACCACTCTAAAGAACTCCGGGCAAATTTTTTTTTATTAACCATTGCAGGGAGGCTACCCCCGCACGGCAAGGGTTAATTGCTTGCTTTTGTCTAGGTGCGAAAAAAACAAAACTATACTCATCTGAACCATAAAGTGGGCTTGTTCTTAAACTGGTCCTTGCAGCCTCTCTCCCCCTCCACTGCAGCAGTCTAAGGTCCCGTAAATCATCACATTCTGGTGGGTCACGGCACGCTTTCCTCCACCTAGCGCGGCACTGTCAGTTTTCGCGCCGAGCAGCCATTCAGAATATGCTGCCCGCTGCTGAGTGTCAGCTTGAGGTGGGCTGGGGCTATGGGCAGCAAGGGAGCTCCATCCATACATGCATTGCTTACAGCCCCCTTGCATTTCCTGTAGAGATGCCTGGACCAGAATGACGGCACATTCTGGCTCCCGGCACCTCTACAGGGCACACATGGGAGCATTCAGACTAGTACAGTGCATTAATCACACAGTCCAGTTCTGATGCGTTGAATGGCACCCCAAACGCACTTCCCACCCACAATTTGATCGGCCGCATCGGAACGTGTGGTACCACAATGCCATGCGTTTCAGTGCAGTGTGACCTGGGTCATGACTTAATGACCAAGGACAAAAGTGGGTCCTGAGGCAAAGGTTCAGAACCACTGGTATAGAGGACCCTGAGGAGCATTCCAATCCTGCAGTGGAGGAGGAGAGAGGCTTCAGAGACCAGAGAAGCAGGGAGCCGGCTCTATGGTTCAGGCGAGTACAACATCTTTTTTTTTGCACCTAGACAAAAACAAGCAGTTAACCCTTGCAATAGTAACCCAACTGCGAGGGTTAATAAAAGTTTTGCCCGGAGTTCTTCAAGTCCTGTTTATAAATAGGGTCTGGTGCTTTTTCAGGACTGCATTCTTACTTCTTTGGAGCTGGCCGAGCACGTACGATGGGGGTTTTCCGTCACTTGCTCTTAAAGGGAAGTATTACACAGCAGATTATCATCTCACTTCTGTGAATGAACCAGGAATCACACCCACTATGCAAAACAGCGCGGTGGAGGGAAAGCAGAAGATAAACACTGACGCAAAACAGGACATGAGAGCAGATGTGACCCGCTCATGTCGTCCGCCTTTAAATCCAGCCTGCGGATGACCATGTTCATCCAGTTCCAGCACCTCTGCTGGGGGGCACTACTGCCACGATGACAGACTGTGCTGGAAAACACAGCAGATTGCAGAGTGTTTGTTTTGCGAGCTGCATAAATAATACGCACGTTCTTATCTCTCTGGAAACTGCTATTAGCACAGAGACGAAATCTGGATCGGAAGAAAAAAGGCGCTCGGGCCGAGCAGTGAGCACAGGAGGCAGTGCAGGATAAACACTTTGCTTGCAGCTCACCTGATGCTGCTTATCTCTCTCTGGGAGATCAAGTTCGGAAGAGGGAACAGATCAAGATGAAGGGAAACAGATGGGTCGCCAAGGATGATTTGAATGATTCTGTTTGGACAGAAAAAGTGCAAACAAACTGCTGCTCTCCAATAATCTAGACAGCCCCACTGGTGTCATTTAAAGTGCACCTGCTCAAGGGCAACTCCAAACCCCATTGCATGGTTCAAAATAATGCTGCGACGAATAATTATTTTCATAAAATCGATCAGTTGGCCGATAATTTTTTCGATCAGATAAAAACATGAAATAAAATGCCATCCCTAATATAAAATAAAACACAAACGCCATGTAACAAAGTGTACTTCATAATAAGACTGCATGCACAATTTTTATCAATTGCACTGGAATGCACGGCATGCGTTCCGGTGCGGGGCGACCACACTGTGGGTGGGAGGCGCGGCTTGGGGTGCCATTGAAATGAATGGCACTGCAACGCACCTCCTGCAGCAGAAGTTGTCAGGCTGAAACCGAAGATGACTTTTCTCCCACCTTTCTATAATTTTTTTTGTGTGTAATAATTGTATTGTAAGCACATGGCTCTGGAATAACTTCAGCCAGGGAATGGCAGCTGCCAGAGGCAAGATTCCACAGACGGCAGCTGAATGTAAATACAGCAGGTAGTGGGCTGGTCCATTACAAATTGCAATAGCCAATAGCCGGATGGCTATTGCAACCGCCCACTGCTTGCTGTGCCCTCCTCCCAGCATGGAGGGGAGAGCTAGGGGATCCAACCAACTAATCGATAATGAGAATAGTTGATAACTATTCTCATTATTGATTAATCGATTATTTTGAACTAGGGCTGCAACCATCTACAAATTTAAGGACTCTTTC